ATATCCCTTCAAATATTTAAACAGGGCTATCATATCACCTCTTAACCAAAATGTAAAGTACTGCACTTAGGGTGGGAAAATGAAATGCATAGATATAGGATGGGGGACACCTGGCTTAACGCAACTACGTGTGAAAAGGATCTAGGAGTCCTAGTAGACCACAAGTTGAACATGATTCAAGTCTGATGCGGCAGCTAAAAAGGCCAATGTGATTCTAGGCTGCATCAATAGAAGCATAGTGTCCAGATCAAGGGAAGTAATAGTGCCACTCTATTCTGCTTTGGTCAGGCCTCACCTGGAATACTGTGTCCAGTTCTGGGCACCACAATTCAAAAAGGATGTGGAGAAACTGGAGTGTGTCCAAAGGAGGGCGACTAAAATGGTGAAGGGTCAGAAATTATGCCCTATTAGGAACGACTTAGGAAACGGGGGATGTTTGGCCTGGAGAAAGACGGTTAAGAAGTTATATGATAGCCCTGTTTAAGTACCTGAAGGGATGTCATATTGAAGAGGAAATGAGCTTGTTTTCTGCTGCTCCAGAGAATAGGACACAGAGCAATGGATGCAAGCTCCAGGAAAAGAGATTCCACCTCAACATTAAGAGGAACCTCCTGACAGTAAGAGCTGTTTGACATTTGAACACTCTCCCTCAGAGGGTGGTGGGATCTCCTTCTTTGGAGGTTTTTAAACAGAGACTGGATGGCCATCTGTCATGTATGTTTTGATTGAGAATTCCTGCATGGCAGAATGGCATTGGAGTGGATGGCCCTTGTGATCTCTTCCAACTCTATGACTCTATGGACGTTATCACACGTGGGCCAGAAAGCGAAAATAAAATGGAAATGAGGCATTCCAAAAATAAACCTTAATTCTGCAAACGTCATTACCTTAATTGCGAATTTACAGTACGCGCATTGAACGTCCACACACAAGCGAAAAAAGCCCGTAAATGTACTAGAAATGAGCTTTTTGCATATGTGCAGATAGAGGAATGCTCACTGGAACCATGGGAACAGAAGGGAAATGCTCCCAAATTCACATTTGATTATCACATTACGGTAAATGTGAAATTACCTTAATTGCGCATTTGCATTTCCTCCAAACAACTGAATTTCAAAAGATCGCGGTTAACACCAGTTTCTTTCTGTCCAATTTCTGTGCAACGTCGTGTAAAAACACGGGGCACTAATCCAGTTTCTGTTTGGGTTTTGTGTGGATTAACCAGTAGATTTGCACCCGTGTGATAATGTCCTATGATTCTACTCCCAAGGCCTCAAAGTCCCCTCTCGCTCTTGTTGCTTACATACAAGTATGCTTTGATTGAGAGTTCCTGCATGGCAGCAGGATTGAACTGGATGGCCCTTGGGGTCTCTTTAAACTCTATGATTCTATAATTCTTCTCTAGGCTAAACAGACCCAGCACTCTAAGAGCCTCAGCACACGGAGGCCCTGGAGTCGCCGCCGGATGGAGCGCCGCGGGGATGCAGCCTTCGCATCCCGGCGCTCCTGCGGCGGCTCTGGAAGGAGCGCTAAATCAGCGCTCCTTCCTCAAGACAGGGAAAGTGCGCCCTAAAAACGGCGGGCGCACTTTCCCTGCCTTATCCTCCGCAGCACGTCCGGTCACTGCAGAGGAAGGTTGCCCCGGAAGCGCCAGCCGTGCGGAGGGCCGGCAGCTTCCAGGGCGACCTCAGGAAGAGGAAGGAGTGCCGCTCATGCGGTGGCTCCTCCTCTTCCGGGCCCGGAAGACGACTCTATTAGCCGTCTGCCGAGGCCCTAAGTATCCTCATAGGGCATGGTTTCCACTTGAACTGCCATGGCTCGGTGTTCTGGAATTCTGGATTTGTAGTTTGTTGTAGCACCAGAGCTCTCTGACAGAGAAGACTAAATGTTTCATAAAACTACAGTTCCTGGAATTCCTTAAGGTGTGTCAGACTGGGAGTCAGCATGGCATAGTAGTGGTTTGGCGGTTGGACTATGACTCTGGGAAACCAGTGTTTGAATCCTGGCTCAGCCATTAAACCCACTGGGTGATTGTGAGCAAGTCACATTCTCTCAGCCTCAGTGGATGGAGATTATCCCACCAATGAAATAACCCGGCTTACCTCTTCCAAACTGAAGCCTAATTCAGGAGGCAGCCAGGTCCTATCACAAGGATTTTGCCACCAAAGCTGCCGGGTGAGTCCAGCCCAGCTGCAGCCTGGATCCCCAGTGCATTTCGGCAGCCTTATTTTCAAACTAGGAGCTTTCTGACTTCAAAAAATGGCCACTGAAGTGCATCAGGGACCCGGGCTGCAGCTGGGCTGGACTCACCCAGCAAAATCCTTGTGACAGGATCTAGCTGCCTCCCAAATTAGGCTTCAGTTTGGAAGAGGTAAGCCAGGTTATTTCAGCAGTGGGATAATCTCCAATGGCAATGACAAACCCACTTTGAAGAAACCTGCCAAGAAAACTCCATGACGTTTTAGGACGCTATC